TGTTTTGTTTGGCCCCTTAACTTGAAGCTTAAGCGGAAACCAGAGGGAGCGCGACAGGGAAAGGGCTCAGGCGCGGGCCGCCCACAAAACCAAGAATTCCAAAGATGATGGATTGACCCCCGAGCAGAGACGAGAAAGGTTTCCTTTTTTTTCTTCATTTTCATTTAAGCTAAACTACAACATGAGTGTTGAGTAAATGAATATATGTGTAAAATTATTTATGTTTAATACCAAATCTAACTCCAAAGTAAAAAATAATAATAAAACAACATCACGAAGCATAGATTTTTGTCACGTCAGCATCCGAAGCATGAGAATCCTCCACATAGGCCCAATACGTTTTGAATTAGTATATAGGGAGGGATTTGACGGATTAGAAGCTATTTATTAGAGGTTTTGTCCTGTAATAGTGTTGGGTGATGTTTATTTATGGAGACTGCAGGGATGCTAAGGCTTTGCAGGAGAAGGCGGCCAGGAAAGCAGCACAAGCCTCTTCAGGAAAGAATAAAGAAAATGCAGGTGCTAATAATATCAAGAAAAAATAGTGAGGAATTGGTGGATTACTGACTAGTAGATTAAGGGGATGCAATTGTGTGGGCGTTCGTCTGAGTTCTTCTTCTTGTGGATTGATCTTGTTGTTTGTGTTTCTGGTTTAGTTAGTGATTGATCTTTTGCCAACGGATCTTCATGTTAGTGTAATTCTTCATTATGAACCCTCGTCGTGTATCTGATTTTCCAAAATCTATCAATGCAATTTCTTTTTTGTGTATCTTATTGTATTCTTAATATGATTCTCCTTTGAGTTTTAGTAATACAAACCTCTATTGTTTTGAGAACATAAAAACCTGCCTCACCTATACTAATATAGGCTGTGTGGTTTACATGATGAAGTGAAGAAGCGTACCAAAGGTCTATTGTTGTATTCCCACAGATACTTCTTTTCCCGTGGCAGAGTTAGTCAAATGCTATTGAATTCGATATGAGGGAGGGAATGATTTATGAAAAATCATGTTTTCGCCCTGTGAGGTCAATTGTATCGAGCCTCGGAATTCAGTGAGGTTTGGAACCGTTCCAAAAAAAAATTGTCTTTACATATGATATTGAAAAGTCGGGTATTCTACTCTAGAACTTTCATTGAATTGAACTTCGTATTGCTGTGTTTCGTTGTCAAAATGTCGTTATTGTCTTGAAAAAAAAAAAAAGCGCTTATTTTTTGAATAAGCTTCAAACACAAACTTTTGAAATGCAAGTGCAATTTAACCAATGATAATATAACGTGCTTTACAAAATAAAAACCATATATAATATAAGGTCCACATACACTTTGGGAATTAAGGAGAACGTCTTCCCCAGCCTAAATAGAATCACGCTAAGCACAACAGTCAGCAATATTCGTTTGCTTACTAACATATGTGCAATAACACATAATTGCCCGAACATGAATTAGTTCACCTTAATATCACGGAGAAAAGATATGAGGTTGGCCTTGGATGAGCCTCCGTCTGAAATCGCCCGTAACATGACCTTCTGTAGCTCTTTCGCCCTTGCTGTCATCACATTCCTGTCAACACTCTTCAAGTTCATGAACCTCCTGACGAGCTCGGCTATTTGTTGGCTTCTCAACAAGTTCCCAACTTTCACGTCCCTTTGCGCGTCCAACCCAATCTCCCAATCCTCCACGATGTGCTTACGCACCGTTGTCTGGTCCATCATTATAGGAAACGCGATCATCGACAGGCCCGTGTAAATACCTGTTTATTTTCTTGTTAATTCATAAGTTAATTAAGAAAAAAAAATGGAAATCCTACATGATCAAATAAATAAATAAGTACCTTCCATGGTCGAATTCCAACCGCAGTGGGTCCAAAACCCCCCGACCGAGGGGTGGCTCAAAACCCTCAGCTGATCACACCAAGAAACGACCCTTCCCATGACCCCACATTTCTCCTGAAGCCTAGCCGCCTCCCCACGGGCTACCCACAAGAATCTTACACCGCTCTCCCGTAGGCCAAGGGCAATTTCGTCCATTTGGAGAGATGAAACCGAGAGAAAGCTCCCCAACGAGACGTACAAGACTGAGCTCGGGAGTTGCGAGTCCAGCCACTCGAAATAGTGATGCTGACCACCGTCTCCGTGCTCTTTTTGATTGTTCTTGAGGTTTAAGTAGGGTATTGCGGGCCCGATGGTGTAGACGGGGAATGGGAACTCTTGTTTTAGAGCATCTACGGCTTGGGGCTCCAGCTCGTAGACGGTACTGAGGAGTAGGCATTGTGCCTTGGACACGTTTGGGAAAATCTTAAGGGCTATTCGAAGGAGGCGCTGGTCTTTGAGGTGGGCGATTGATGGGATGTCGGCCAGACGGATGGAAGCAATGCCGGGGATATAGTCCACCCGTTGGTCACCACTTTCTGTTGGCACAAACAAAAATTTGTGTCAAATTAACGAAAACATTGAAAATATTCCTTCAACTAAAGCAAAATATATCAATTCTTTCAGTGTTTCCAGTCTTTGATTTTAAATCCATTATTTTACTTCGTATCTATACTGTTCTTTAATTTTTTCCAGTTTTTCGAGCGCATCTCCAACCAGAAACTCTACTTTTAGAATTTCTACAGTGAAATCCCACTAGTTTTATCATTTCAATAGTGTCACCAACTCCAACCAATTCCCTCTATAATTCACTTCTAAACGAATATTCCTAGCATTCTTTTTTAGTTTTTAGTTTTTTTAGTAGTCCTTATAATTACAGTTTAATGATGTGTTTTTTTTTTAATTTATCTTTATTTTGTAATTTTAATTTTAGTGTTTGAACCGTTAATTTTAAATGAGTTGAAAATTTATCCTTATTTTCTAATTTTAACTTGTTTGTTTCTAATATTTATTTGATTTTAAATACTAATCAAAATGCTAATTAAATTATAAAATATTAGGTTACAATAATTAAGTTTACAATTTTAATATAATATTTTAATTTAATCTATGAAAGTAAATAAATGATGAAAAAAAAAACCAACTCATCTTGCCCAATCCATCTCTAGCCCAACTGCAGTTACAAAACAAAAAGAAAGTCCAATCCATGGCCAATATTTGCCAATACAACTCATTTTTCACTTCAAAAACAAAATAAACTGAAAAAGGAAAAACTAAAGAGGACGAACAGTGGAACGGTGAGGAAACCATTCCATAAACTTTTCCGACTAAAATGGCAGAGAGGAGAGAGTTGCATTGGAGATCATTTTTCTCAATGGCGTTCCTCTTGGTTTACCAGGTGGGTAGGAGACGCTCTAAGGTTCATTTATTAATCTTGTAAGCTGGCATCTTATTGGATTTTTATATATTGTAGTTTCTACATTTATTGTTTTCGGATATTTCTTAAATTACCTTTAAATTTGACTTAGTTGTACATGTATGTCACTTATATGCAGTTTCTTAAATTACCTTTAAGTCATGTGGGACAGCTCCATGTGGAGCTGTCCCATTGGTGGTTGGTTCCATAAGGAAACCAACCATCTGGTTCCTTAGCAAAATTGCACTCATATATACCTACCACTCAACATTTAACAGTGAACTAAATATTTTATTCCATTTAAAGCGACCACATCACATCTCTAGGGGTGAGCAAAGTTTAGTAAAAACCATAACACCAAGTCAAATCGAGCAACTCGGTAAAATTCGGTCCGGTGTTTCCTATATTGCAGTACGCCTATAGTTTTTTATATGTTCAGTTTTCAGTTTTGTTTTGTTCGGTGCAGTTTTCACCGAACCACGTCAAATTGAATAAAATCTAAAGAATAATTGAAATATAATAAAAAAATTGAGTCGAACCATGTATGTCTATTTTGTTCGATCCAATTATTTTAGTGTAGGAAATTTCGATATAGATTTGATTCGATTTCTTTCTTTTATAAGTTCGATTTTCAAATGAACTTTCATGAACTAACACTAGTTTCATGGGAACTTTTGATAATTAATTCGAAGCGACTTTTCATTCAACAATATCTTTGCTCACCCTTTCACGTATCTGAAGTAAATCTTTTACCAATTCTCTGTAAGCGAAATCTTTGATTGGATCAATGAGGTTGAAGAAGATATGATGATGGATGAAAAAGAAGTTTGACTTCTCGCATAGCGGGCGGAGCTTATTCACTCTATGGTGGGAAGGGAAGTCCTAGAGTTTAAGTGGATATGCTAGACCGGAGTTACGACAAGCTATTGTTAGCACGAGGGTTAAACCATACATGATGGATTATTTCAAGTGTTTAAGCCGATAGAGTGGAATGAAGGCTAGAGTTAATGCTTAGTGAATAAAGTCCACCCTCGCTTCTCTATAAGAATAGGAATCTCAATTACATCCACCCTCTTCTCTATAGGCAATAATTTTACTAAGAGAATATAAAGTCAAAAAAAGAAAAAGGGTACCAAACTTTTTTGAATGCTATTTCTCAAGCATTCAAAAAAGTAACTCAAAAAAGCATTCAAACGATGAGGCAAAAATTGCCTCAAAAAGTTTGATTGGAAGCTGATATAGTGGGAGCAAGCTTGTTTGTTTATTAATTTCGAACAAAAAATTCAATCTCAAACTTAAAATTTAACTTAATTTTAAATGTAACTCACTTATTCTCGATATTATCAATATAGTTAAATAATATCAATCAATCATTCTTATACATTACATTCACTTTATTTCATTGTTCATATACTTACATAATTTTAACTACCGATCACATCTTATAATCTTTCTCATATTTTTAAATCAAATCAACTTTAATTATTTTATTTAAATATTATTTTAACATCCTTTTAAAGACTAATAAAATCAACTTTTTTAAAATTAACCATGATTAAAAAAATAAAAAAAAAAACTAGTTTATTTACACACACACATATGGATTTTTTAGTTTCAAGCATTGTTTTTAAATCGGTCCAGTGATTGACCTGGGCTTGATTGATTTCAATTATCAGGTCAATTGTTGAATTGCGTAAGTAATTTTACACAAAGAAAACAGTAAATTATATTTATAGTAATTGTATCTCATAACAATACATAAATAATAAAATAAATTATTTTTATAATGTAATTTTATAAAAAGAATAAATTACAAAAAAAAAGTTATATACAATTGCTTAACTGTATTATTTTTATATAAAAATTGAATTATAGTTTTGGTTTCTCTATCTTTTATCTATAAAATAATAATTAAATTAACTTATTTATGTAAATTTTAAAAGTACATATACATATATGTATTATATTTATCCAATGACTCGGTCTAGGCCAGGTTGAATGGGAGCACCCACAATGCTTTAGGTCTATTAAAAAATATACATGCCACGAATGAAATAGACCTAGTCTAGAAAAATAAACTTTCCAATGCAAGTGCAAGTAGACTGGGTCGTGCAAATATAAGAAACTCAGTCTACTTTAAGTCTATTTTAGACCCAAGTAAAGACCTAGTTTTTTTGCATTGAAGTCAATTTTGTTACTTTAATATATTTTTGTCTGTGTCATCCAAAAGTTAAATCTATTTATACGCCACGTAACTAAAATTAGACCTAAAGCATTGTAGATGCTATCCAATGAAATGACCCAACTGGACATGTCGCTGTCCCGGATCCTAAAAGACAACTATAAATTCCATATTAATACTGCTACACATGAATATGATAGTTATTAGAAAAATAAATTACAACTTGGAAATTAAACTAAGCAAAAACATGAATTATTTAGGCCCAAATCTAACAGCAATGTAAATTACTCATTAGGACTTACCAGAGAGTTCGAATGGGTGATGCCCGCTGCTTACAAGAAGGTCAAAATGGTAAAACACGGAGAATACTGAGGCCGGCATTGGCCACAGCGACGCCACCGGAATATTCCTCCGGTTCCCGACCTCAACCGCCCAATTGAGGAAAGTGTCTGCAACAATGAAGTCAACCGGCTGGCCAAGCCGGTCAATTAGCTCCTCGAACGGCTCCGCCATCTTGGTCTGGGTGGCCCCGACGAAGCTAACCATGTCGGCGGCGCGATCCAGCTCGGACGGCAGGACGTTGGGGATGGTGGCAAAACGGACGGACGGCGGCTTCTCATCGGAGCCAATGAAGCCGAGCCACTCCTCAGTGAGGACGAAGGTTATGAGGAGGTTGGGTTGGGAGGTAGTGAGGAGCTTGCAGAGGTTCATCATGGGGTTGACGTGTCCCCGTCCCGGATAAGGGACGGCCACCACGTGCCTCGATCCCATCGCCGGACACATCTTTTGTTTTTCTTTTTCTTTTTTATTTTTCTTTTAATAGTTCGTTTTATAGTATTATATATATATTTATAGGGGTAGTATCGTATTTGGCTGAATGGCTCTGGCTTTCATTGAAGATGAAAAAACCACTTTCTTTTTAGCTGCTTGAGGTCAAGCAAAGTACCTAACCCCTCCCACTTACCCCCACCTACTTCATGTCCCTTGAGTCTTGAGTCTTTGATAGAGAAAAGTCTGTCATTTTTAATTGTAACTAGTACAGTGCTCGTGCGATGCACGGGGTGCACAATTTTAAGGTCATATATTCAGCCTTATAATTATATAAATGAATAAAAAAAATGTACAGAATATATATTATACGTGACCTGTGCGAGACACGGGATAGATTTATTTTGAGTATTATAATTTAATATGCAATAGTCGATAAAAGTTGTACAATACACAGGAAAATTGTACAATAAAATAGTGTTGAAAAAAGAAACAATCATATATTATTAAAGACCTCCTTGTACACAACATTATGAGTTTGATTATCGGGTAACTCCTCATTCTCACAAACTAATATCTTCAACCCCTTCTATTAGTCACACGCAAAATAACAACACATAATTGACCATGACTAAAGACACGCTTCTTTAGAAAAAGACCAACGTGGGATAAAGACTGTCTCTGACTCTTGTTTATGGTCATGGCATACGAAACCATAAGTAGGAACTGCCGCCGCTGAAACTTAAATGGAACCCTAAGATCAGAAGAAGTAATATTCATTCTAGGAATCAACACTGTGTCGCCAACATGATCACCAGTCAATATCTTGCATTCAAGACAAAAAACCAATAGGCTTGGATCATCCATATTTTACATCTTTTAATAAGTGGCGTTTATTTAAGCCAAAAAATTAACATGTTAATTAATATATAATTCCGCTAACACGTCATACTATTATTTATTTGATTTTAGAATACATATT